GTTCCAGATTCATTGCCCCGGATACCCACCCAGATTGGGAAAATGGCATACGGGGATTTACAAATCACTCACTACATGACGCTGGACGATTCAATGGAATTTGTCGGGGTGAGTTAAATCGCAAGAAGGAAAAATAAATATTGAAATCAATGTCTTGCAAAGGCCATGTCCAAAATACCTGGGTATGACCATAGCCACTGGCTTGCCCTGTTTGAACCATCCAAACCAAGACTGACCAGCAGAAGACGATTAAAATTTCTTCCAATATGCAGTTCAATAAGCTATTTGCGAGACAAATTTGAGTTAAATGTAGAACACTGAGTTGAGCATAACCATTGGAATTCTCCATCCTAACGGCACTGTTACTATACTTCATGATTCGGGGCAAGGTTTTGCGTACATGTAGATACGTAAGAGATGCCTTGCACCAGTGTACTGTTTGCAGTAGATAAGAAGGGCACGAAGGAACCAGTCCATTCCAGAGATGGTGGTCGCCATGCAAAAGCTTGCCCCAAATCACAAAGTACAGCAACAGTGTCTTTAGTCTGGGGAATTCAAATTGTTATGTTAAGGTGCAATCAGATAACTCAGTGTACCAGATATTTTTCAAATTTAACTCACAAATAGCTTATTCATTACCATCCCTTTCGTGGAATGTCTGAGAAACCAATCAAGTTAGACCATTCTGTTGCCATGGAGACATTACCAGCTCTTCTGCAGTATCACTTTCTACTTTGCCCTGGTGTGAGTCTTCTAAAACGGAGATGTACGGCAAACACCTGCTTCGTCTTGTTTCTCTAAAAACTCTCCTTCATATTTTCTCTTTGGTTTTCCCAGGAGCCAATCAAAATGGACCATCCCGTTGCCATGGAGAAGCTGCCCATCAACCAAGGTGGGGGCCAGGGCTATGGATTCCTCCTTTATCGCACGACCGTCGACCACAACCCAGAGAAGCTGAAGTTGGATCACCCACCCCAAGACAGAGCTCAGGTAACTGAGTGACATCCTTTCCCTTCTACAGATGTCATTTTTCTGTTCTGAGGCTGAAGCCAGCATATCCATTTTTCTCTCACAGCACTGGTCAGAAGATCAGCTTCTGAATTGGATATGGGTAAAACTGCAGAGGGCGCTGTTTATGAATCTGTTGTGCAGAGCCAGGTCTAGGTCTTCACTCCATTTGAAATTCACAGAGATGCGCTCATACAGTAGACCTAGCCATTGCTCTAGAAGCCTGTTTCTGACACAGCTTGATGAGTTCAGGCTTTAAATTACCCCGGTTTACTAGCACTGATCATGCTCTTTGTATGGAGTACATATAACCGGGCACAGGAGAATTGCAAATTTAGCCTGTGGGCTTTTACCGAGTTGCGGCTGTGTCTGCAGCTTCATGCCAAGCTCTACACTCAGTTTAAAACAACTGGAAATTACATAAAAAATCTCCTAAATGCAGTCACACATTAGGCACTCGGATGCTTCAAAACAAAGACATACATGTACAAGCCCCCTGTAACCATCTCATCCAATCTGGCTCTCATATTCAATGTTACCTGCATTGACTGCTTGCATCTCGTGTTTGCGTATGCAGCAAGGTATGAGACGGAGAGAACCCCCCCGCTTTGTGTTGGTCATTGTCTCGCAGGAATCTGGGGAATTCCTTTCAGACATCTTGGGGGGAATGTGTCAAGTAACAATAGTCTGGAATGTGCATAGGGAGTGGACATGTTGGGGGGTTACCCCTCGGTCTCATTTCTTGCTGGGTATACGTGTGTGACTTTACTCCAGAAATCAGAGTGGAGATAGAAAACAAGGATTACATGTAAATATATCATTTTCCCCTAATTTGCAGGTGTTTCTGAATTCAAAGCAAGTCGGTGTGATGACCAGAGTTGACAACCATGAGGATACATTGCTGACATTAAAGGTGACTGACTATCCACGGTCTCCACATGTGTTAAAGGGGCTGTGTTTTCACTTCCATGCGAGAAAAGGGGACACTAGTAGCGTCTTTGATCGTATAGTCACCCAGTCCCTAATTCCAGTATTTACTTTAAAAACCAACCAGACTTCACAATGTGTAGATAATTATGGGACCCGGCAACTGAACAATCCTGGAAAAAAGTTGTCCTGGAAAGTCATAAAAGTCAGGGAAAATTTTGGCCCCCCCCAAAAAAAAATGGTGTCATTGAATCCTGCTGTCAGATGAAAGCAAATACCCACAATGAAAAGTCACAGAAACTGTTATTTTTATTATTATCATTTTATTTGACAAACTGGTGACATATGCCGGGAGAAGAGAAAAGGTGCACTGAAGGCCTCTCAACATAATACCTTTGTAAAATTAAAAAAAAAATCAAGATGGTACGAGGAATAATTTCGATGTGACACTTGAAAACATAAAATTTAGAGGCGATGCTCTTGTAATTTTTTGTAGTGGCTATGGCAGTCTTCTAGTTCATAATACTAAACAACTTGTCTCTGATCAAATGGCATTAAATTCATAGATGTTGTCATATTTTAGTCGTGGAAAGTCATAGAAATCGGTTTTCAGATTTCTCTGAGAATTATAGAGAGAATCACTCTGTTGCCTTTAACCATAAAGCAGTTTTTCTGAGAACCTTCCTAAATGTACCAACTTTGAGAGGTTGTGTCCCCGATATGTTGCATTGCAGATATCGCTGGCATTTTTCTGGTTTCAGATTTGCACTTCGTGAACAAAGAAAGTGGCATATTGGGAGGAACCAAACAAGCTGGGATGGATCGCTCCATTTGTTGATTGGGGGGATGGTGGGCCAACCCCCCTCAAATCATGGGCACATTTTGTGTCTATTTGACAAATGAGTTAGGCATGTTTTTCTAATTTTTGTTGTTTGTTTTTTAGGGAGGGGTGAATGGGCCCAATAGGTTGGAGCTGTTTGTAGAAAACATGGGGCGTGTCAATTACGGAAATCATCTGGACCATGAACGGAAAGGTACTGTAAATATGGAGATTAACCCTGCGTTCTGCTGACATATCACAGTGTTGATAGGACTGAATCAAGTCGGACTTGCCTTGTTCTTCCCAGTCAACCATCCCTTCACTCCTCTGTACACATTACATGATTGTCCAGCTCGGCAGCTTGCATAACCCTTATAAGGCGCCCTCATTTGTTAACCTTTATCGTATAACGTGTGTCAAACGTCACCAGTCAGTAAGACTTGACAGATCAGCCAATCAGACCCCCGTCAGTGATATGTAGTTATTTATAATTGCGTATGCACGACATGATCTTGCATAATGTATACGACATTTGCTCCAATCAAAGTACATGTAGTCGTTAATTATAATGCAGGCATGAACGACGTAAAATCAAGTCCAGCAAGTGGCTGTTACCACTTTTGGTAGATGAGCCGATTCGCTGCATACAAACGGTTGGCAGATTCATCGAGTCAGGGTTTATTCACATGGACACGATAAGTGGACACGAGGGCGCGAAGCAAGTAACACTGCTCAGTGTTAAAAAAACCTATACCCAAAGCATAAATGGAGACAAAGGTACACAGAGGATCCTGATTTGGTCAAGTTTACAGTGTTCACTGCAGTGCATGATGGGATAGGTGAACGAGCACGTCTTGCAAACAATTCAGATGAACTTGGGAAATGGTGTCCACAAGGAATTCTCTTCCCAACTGTTGAAATGCTCTTGGAGCTCACAGGCCAAGATGGTTGATCGTTAGGATTAAGCAGATTTCACCGTCCGTGGAGTTTTGGCTTGATGACATTATAAAAGTGCTGGAGGAAATAACTAAAAAGTGTGTCGCATTAGAAGATTCGCCAAGTTTCTTCCATAATTGAAATTGTCAGGTCATGTTTTACTTCTTTCTACAGTTAGTTTCATAGGTTTTAAAAGAATTCAGATTTGGAAGCTTTCAGCAAAGTTTGATAAAAAGTAGACTGTGTGCCAACGAGGATGTTTTGTTTCAACTTTCTCAGGAATACTCGGAGAGGTTGAAGTTGACGGCAAAACCCAACTGAAGTGGGACATGTTACCCTTTGAGTTTAAGAAGCCCTTCCTTGAAGCGTAAGTCTGGACGTGCTCAGTTGATTGAGGTGTTGACCGGGGCCTGATATCAGGCAGTGTTGTAATTAAGACCTTGTAAGACCGTCAGATCCTAGAAAACCATCACAAGACCACACAAGACCTCCAGTCTGAATTCAAGTCACATGTTACGTGTACTCAAATGACTTGCAGCAAAAACATTCCTTGTCATTGTTCACATTGCCGCTTGTAACTGGTCTTTTGAATGATCTTGTGCGTTGTCCGGTCTTGTGAAAGTTCTCGTGATTTGTCAACTACATGTACAACACTGTCAGGATGCAGGAAACATTACAATTGCATTTCTGCGTTCAGAGAACCAGTGTTGGGTGTTATCCTTGGCAAGGCAATTTGACCAGTCCCCTGTTCCTGCTAGTCTGTGCTCAGCCGCACTATGAGATTTTGTTCCTGTTTGTAGTTGATCATTTTTGTAAACTAATTGGCAGAAACTTGTGCTTTCCTTCTTAGAAAGGTTGTTTTCAGAAGATCAGAAGGTTTTGGGTTCCAACAGAAAAAAATAGTGGGCGTAGTGCTTTTTAGTCAGGTGTGCAGCGTCGTGTTGTGATCAAAGCGGAACCGTTCGTCTTGGATCACCAACTTTGCTCTCTGTTTGGACGGCTAGGCAGTGCAGACATAATCATGAATTTGTGTTTTGTTTGTTTCTCTCTTTCCCCCAAAAGGGTGTCGGCCTCTAGTAAGTGGAAGGCGTTTGCACCAGTTGAAGGTCACCGCCCAGCGCTCTACAAAGCGACGCTAGAAGTTTCTGAAAAACAACCCAAGGACACTTTTGTCGACATGACTGTACGTAACCTATTTCCTGTCTTTATTTTTGTTATTATAATTAATTATTCCAGGTAATGAAACCAAGGATTCTTCAAAAGCACTGTAGCTCGTAAGCCGGAAGAAACTTATTATGGAAGAGACATTGATCACAAGATACAGTTTAAGAGGTGGGAGGGAAGGAAACCCAAGAACAGTATTCTGGGTAAAACAGACAAAATAAGGTAGGGACCAAGGAGCTAATCCGCATATGGACTGAGCCAGGATTGGAACCCAGGCTCCAGACTTGAAAGGCAAGTAAAAACATGACTTCGCCAAAAGATGAACTGGTGATGGAGTTGTCGCAGGGATGCAAGAGGGCTCTTTTTTTTTCTCAAGCAATGCATTCAATTACTTCTCAAGCTTTGTACTAAAAACCCTAACTGCATTTGATTTGACATTTCATGACTTCCCATGCTAACACAGGCCCTGCTGAATGGAAGATCTTGCTTCTGACCTCCACTTTATTTATTGAACACTCTGAAAGGAGATGGAACCTGGCTATTTAGCTGTTATTACAAGTACATTGTACAACCTCACTTTGGGAGCTACCTTGCTCTTGGACAATCTTAGGCTGAGTTCGGGCAGCTTGTTCTCGTATAATCATGAACAGCTCGATTTGTTGTTCGTGGGTCGGCCGCTCAAATGCCGGGAACGTACAACCTGTTATAGCTGGTAGGGAGTGGCATGCAACATGACGGCGTCCATGTACGTTCTTTAGGGGTTCATGTTTGGATAAATGGGTTACATTCTATTCTGTTTAAAAGGAAACATTCATTTCTGTGTGATGGAAAATAATTAATGTTAATTTTGCAAAACTTCCCATTGTCTGTGGCTTTGGAAGCCATCTCTCTGCATTTTTCCGCTGTTCAGAAATCAAAATCTCACGAGTTTTTCGGTGTGTTCCTGTAAAACCATGACGAAGACGTGGCATATGATCCTCGTGTTCCTATCATAGAGAACAAGAAACCTGTGTCAAGAAGAGACTGCCTGAACTCGACCTTTGAGGATTGTTTTGGGCTTTTAAGGTTTTCAAGAGAGAGTGGTGTGTGATTTTTCTTGTGTTTTTACCATGGCTGATCTTAGGAATCTGTGTTTCCTTTGGTTGTATCTTCATGTATTTTGCCAGGGATGGGAAAAGGGGGTGATATGCGTCAACGGTTTCAACTTGGGCCGTTACTGGAGTCTCGGCCCGACGTCAACCTACTACCTGCCTGGCCCGCTATTAAAGCAAGGCAAAAATGAGGTAACTTGGTCAAAAATGTTCTCCAGTTATCCATTTACCTTTGTAACCTGCTCTTGGAAAAACGTGTGGTCTGATCCAAAAATGTAAATGTGGCTGTGTAATGCCCAGAGTGTAAGCTTTATAAGGTGTGTAGCAGAGCTCAATTTCCCATCCCAGTCCTGAGATAGGACTTTTTTTCATGTTAATTAGTTCTGTAGGGTTCAACTTTATTCAGCTTGGAAAGCAGTCTTTAAAATATACAGACTTGGGGCTTGGAAGGCTCACCGTAAATCTCCCTAGCAACCGTCATGTTCCTAAAACCTGAAAATTTGAGATCAAAGAGGTTAATTCTGACAAACAGTCAAAATTGAAATTCGAGAAGAAATACCTTGCTCCTAGCTTTGAACTTTTAGCGCAACTTATGTGGAGTGGACACTTACAAGAGGCACTGAAACGATATTGGAGAAAATATTTGGGGTGGGTGGGCAGATTCCATCCTGTCTGCCCTCTCAGCTAATGAGGACTTTGCATGATATTTTTTTTTCAATTCGTCGTTTCAGATAATCATCTTTGAACTTCATCAGGGTAGAAACAAAATCAGTCTAACAGATAAGCACAACCTGGGCGACACCGTTCACGTGACCAATGATGAGGATGCGTTATGAGGTAGTCACGGCGAGGTAAGTTCCTGAAACTGGCACAGTGCGCTACTGGCATCTTTTTGATAGGGGCCAGATTAGCGTGCAGCGGTATTGTATCGCTCATCGCTGGAGCGCTTTTGTCCCCGGTGGTAATCCACTCGCGCTTTTGCCACAAACAGTGGTATAATCTCTCAAAATAAGGACCAATTTCCTCCGCTATTGACAACTGAAAAAAGTTGGCAATTCCTAGGAGCTCGGTCTTTTGTTCCGAGTACGGTGTTTTGTTATAAGGCCCTGCTCTTTTGTCCGGTTTCGGGCTCCCTGGTTTCTTGTATAAAGCGTATGTGCCCGAAACCGGGCTCCCCTGCAGCATATGGTTAGCTAAAATAGAGGCTTTAGAATTACAAAACGACCTCTCATGTTTGGATTGTTGAAGTCAACTTTCTGTTTTTAATGTTTTTTGTTTTGTCCACAGTGTCATGCTGGAACACTGGCCAGACCCAGCAATGCACCTCCTCGACAAAGGAATGATGTCACTGGTCGTGTGATCAACTGCCAACCAATCATGGAAGCTTGATTCCAGTCAAACCCTCTGCTGATGAAATTATCATCAGTGATGACAGAAATGTAGAAAGCCTTTTTTTAAAAATTGTTTTAATCAGCTCAACAAGAATTTGCCCTTAGTTCTTTCATCTTCAATGTGTCTCTTTCCTGTGAGATAATTTGTTTGTTCCCTGTTTGACATATTGAATGGTAACAAGTGGAAGGGGCGGGGTAATACACCCAGGTTTGGGGGCGTCAATGCGACCGAGCAGGATGTTTTAAAAGACTCACCATCAAGTCTGAAATTTTGGGGAGAGGAAGGAATTTACTACGTGTTCTTGGGTAAATGTAATTCTTCAACACAGAGAGGCTCAGTTTCAATGTGGATATGCGCAGACGGCGCTAATGTGGAATCCATCTATTTGCTTTTTAACACGTGAAAAACATGTCTGCATGCCCCTAAACCACCTCAGAAATGTCACTCGTTACACCCCTGTCCAGAATTTGCAATCGTTACAGCTCCCTTTGTACATGTATTAATTGAATGATTGATCAAAATAAGACATCAAGTGGGTGCAATGCAAGCTCCTGAAATGATATAAGCAAGAGAGTTTTCATTTGGGTTTGCTTTATTACTCCAACTCCGTAACTCTAGTGAGCAGTCAACAACTCTGATATTGACTCTTGGTCACTTAATTTTTTTCTGTAGAGGGGTTAATATGAAAGGGATATTTTTTGTACCATTGATGCGGTGTAGCGGTATAGCATTATTCAGACGTTATTGGTGGTGCTCATGCAGCTGGGAAATTTAGGTTAATTATTAGAAGTTTTTGTTCAATTGTAATTTAACCGGATTTGCTTTGATAAAATTCTAAATGGTAGATTTTATTCATTAAAGTATTAACAAATTTGTGGAGTTCTCTGGTGCTCTCCAAATCTTAGCTTCACTTCCATAATGACATTTAAAGTCTTGTGGTACAATTTTAGTTTTCTGAGTTGAAGCTCAAGATAATTACAGAAGTGAGCAATGATGGAAGCTTTAATAAACGGTAACATGCTGGGCAGCATGGAACATTTTAAAAGCTGTCAGAAACCCAGCAAATCACTGTTGATGTCTTTCCGCAATAACGGCAGTGCCCCACAGGAATAATAGACACGAATAATAGCCAAGTCATGAACCGTATCAAACATCAGCAAAACCCATAGCAAAGTGTGGTGTAAGGATTTACCAAAAATCAGGCCGATTTTTGATGTATTACCCAGCATGTTAGTACTGACTGCAGACTTTATTTTTGAGAAATTATTCTTATGACACATTTTACTGTGGGAGGACGCTACATGTATGTTTGTTGATGTTTGATACCCACTATCATCATGTGACTTAGCGGGAGCTATCGTCAATGGAGTGCACGACGAGGAAGCGCTGAGCCATGCTTGTTAGTCTGTGACATCATGCTCAACAAGGCTGCTGATTGCTTACACACCAAGTCTTAGTGAGGTGTCTTTAAGAAATCGCTTTAGGTGTCTGATTGCAGTGGGTTTTTGCCCCACTGTGTGGTTTGTCCGTTGTTGATGTGAACAGTCACAGAGGAAATTGATGTGAATGATATCATGTTTGGTGCAGAGTTCCATTATTTCAGTTTCTAAATTGGCCCTCAAGCTCTGTGTTGCTGCTTTCTTAGTCTTGGTTACAAGACGTCACTATTCGTTTGCTATTCAGTATTCATTATTGACTGACAAACCTGTCTCCGAAAGACCGAGCTATCTTAACCAACTGCCATTACCCACAATTAGCAGCGGCAGCAAAGACAGTTTGTGGGCAATATCGACAGAGACTTCTTAATGATAACGCCCTCTTTTCATTAGTGACAAATCCAGGTAAAATTTGCAAACCATCAACAATGTAGCTGCATGTTTTATTTAAATCTTTAAAGAAATCATGTAAATAGTTCATATTACTTTTTGTTTTCGTTTAACACAAGTAGACATTCTGTACATGAATACAATACATGTATATGGTGCATTTAGCAATGTATTATATTAAATTGAAATGTATTTCTAGTTCTTCATTGACCCTTTTCAACTTCAGTTGGAATTATTGGAGTGTAGACTAGTTGTTAGTTGTGACCCTGAAATCATGGGTATTGTGCTTTTGTATTTTATTACAAAGGATAATTATTAAAATGGAGGAAATTATGGATTGTGGAGATGGTAAGTCTTGAAGTCATGTCAGATTTTAGTTTCGTATTTTGCTCCGAACAAATCCTTTTTAAAGGATGGACATTTTGCATTTAAGCCAGAATTCCTCCTCAACATCAGAAATATGTTGCCCAGCCTAATAAACATGAGTCATAAGTGGCTTTAAATTGAAGGCCTTGAAAAGAATCTTGCTTAATCAATTAAACGCTCCCCATTTTTCATTCAGATAGTGTCTATTGACATCAGGCTTACAGGCTAAGGGGTTCCTCAAAAGAAAAAGCAGTTTGCTCGTTCCGATCCATAGTAATAACAGTACTGGAAAATGGCCTAACGACTCCAGTTGTAGGACCGGGTCACAGCTGTAGCTCAATCAACACGCAGGGAGTCAGGTTGGCGTTGTGGTTCTTTGCTTGCCTTCCACCTCTTTGGTCTGGGTTCAATTCCCGGCTCGGTCCACGTGAATTGGGTTTTCAGTCCCTACTCGAGTTAGTGGGTTTAATCCAGATTATTCCTCTGGGGTTTTCCTCCCACCTCTAACAGTGACACTGCTTTTCATTGCCTCCTCTCTACAGGTTTCTTCAGGCTTGTGACCTACAGTGCCTAGGGCACTTACTTGAGGAACCTTAGTGTCATTACCAGAACTTAAATAATCATAATTTTATCTTACAACATTGCGACTTCAGAAATCGGACTCAAGGCTCCTTTTAAAATATTTTCTATGTATGCCATGTTTTAAAAACAAGTGAATGGTAAACCTCAGCATTTTCTTGATTTTATGAGGGATTATTTGAAACATCCAGAAACGAGGAAAATCCTGTCAAAAAAACCTGGAGTCTGGAAATTCCTGACAAATCTCACCCTTGTCTTGTATTTGGACACCATACAAACACATGCACTGTATTGCAGGACACAACACGATAGGATATTCCAAAACACACTTTATTGGCCATTTCTCACTCAACAGAATCTGGCAGGTTTTTTACACTGTACGCTCAGAGATAAATCAATGTACCAACAACTGTACCAATACTAACAGAAACAATAGGCATGTTAACAAGAAAACAACCAATTCTGTGAGAAATAAGAACTTTCAACGTATGTGTAGACTATACATTTATGTTACCACATGTACAGTCATTACTTGGGAAAAAAGGAAAAAAAACCTTTTTTTAACAAATATGTTACTTAAATCAACACTGAAAAATTTTGAAGTGATGACGTGACTATTGTAAAATCTGAGAAATTTCATTCAATTTCAATTTCATTTATTTAATATCATTTGTATCCAACGTAGTTATTGAAAATTTGTTGTGGTTTACATGCATACTTGTACGGATCTTGACAAAGATTCTGTATGGTGCTAAAACTCAAATGTAACAAAATGTCCAGTGTGGAAATATAGAAAACACAATCTATATAGATTCTCATCAGAGATTATGTATAAAATTGCTTTCTCTGGTCACCATCCAATGAGCTTTGAATGCCAAAGAGAACTTCAAAAAACAAGGTAGGACAAAAAAAACTGGTACTTTGTAGTAAGTGAAGGTTATGATCTTTGAAATCTCTGCAGTTGACAAGGAGGTGCTATTTATCTTGCTAGTCTATTATGCGCTGTTGGCTGGTAATATTTTGTAGCCAAAGGCCAGAAACATACTGATGCTTCCTCCCGTGGTAGCCCAGATGTTTACCTGGCCAATCGGCTACAAATTAAAGAAGGCCACCAGCTGGGAAGCCAGATGCCAGCTGGCAAGCAAATCAGTCTAAATGTGGTAGCCAACGGCCAACAAAAGCGTCTTGGTTCTGTATCATGTTTGTCACACCTACATGTAAGCTACTGAGTACTCCTGGCCACATTAGTCCAGTTTGGAAGCCAAAAGCCACCTTGAGCCAATAAATCAGTCAAATTTGGCAGCCAGTGTCCAGCAAAAAGTCCAAGCCCCTCCAGCATTATTCCACAAGCCCCAGTCTTCTGCTCTTCTCTATTGCCTACCAAATCAGTCTAGTTTTGGAAGCCAGAGGCCAGATGGCCACTAAATCAATCTAATTTGGTGGCCACAGGCCAACAAACTCCTGATAAGTCCAAAACTTTGAATCCTTTGAGTTCACACTCCTTTGGTTTGTAACGTCTTCTGCAGGACGTGGGCGTCGGCTGGCTCAATTCTCTTGTAGTAATGCTCCTTGGTTTCGATGATTTCAAAGTCAAACTTCTTGTAGAACTCAATGGCAGACTCGTTATTAACCTGTACATGTCTGGGAAATAAAACCAAACCTGGCATCAACAATTGTGGAAATTATCTTTAAGTACAAACAGGAATATTTGACATCTACTTGGAACAAGACATCATGACTCCTCCATACATTTCAGAATCTGATCTATTTTGGAATCATTTCTATTCAGATCGTATTCAAGAATCAGTTCTGTGGGCCTATTGCAGAATTGATTGCATTCGACAGCTTTTTTTGAATCAATTCTGTTTCAGTCCTATTTGAGAAAACCTAACTTTATTCGGTTCCAATTTTGAAACCGGCTTGATTCTTGAAATGAATTCTATTCAATTTCTGTGATACGGTAGAACAGATATTTTTTGTTTTCCACGCAACATTTCGATTCCCAGAATGTACATGTAAATGCATGGTTAACATCTACCTTCAGCTAGATTATTCAAACAACTCCAGGCTAGAATGGAAAAGAATCAATTCCACTCTAAGGAATTAAACTTATTTTGATCAAACTTGTTCAAATAAGTACCCCTTCATGAATTAAGCTGCAGACCTGCCAACCTTGTACTGGACCAAAGGTTCTATGATTTTACCTTAAAAATCCTATTTTCTTAAAAAAAAACCTATTCTTCACTGTTGCATAATAACTTGGAGCTTGATTCATATGCAAATGATCAAGCGAGCATGATGCGAAGTCTGGGCCCCAGACTGATTCTGCTTATAAATCCATAGTTTTCGTACAGCACACAGATGAACTGCACAAATGAAACAGCAACGGACGATAGAGGGCCTGGTGGGCGGACACCGCGTTATGTGTGTTGCATCTGTTTGCATGGCATTTTCGACATTGCCGACAACTGATGTTACCATGCAAAATTAACTTGTGAAAAAAATCAATTTTCAAGCCAAAAAATAGGTCAAAATCTCAAATAACTACAAAGATTTTTTTTTTGTAAATCGTATTTCATTGAGAAAAACTGTAGTGTCGTATTGTCATTGCAAAATCGTAGGAAATACAATAAAATCGTACTGGTTGGAAGTTTTGATGCTGCATGCTCAAACTTTCAAACATCAAATACACTACTGTTTATTTTCAATCAAATTTCTAATGGTAAAATGCATTGCAACATGACAGGAAAATATTCATCTGCTGCCGTAAACAGAAATGCGTTGTAAAATCTTATTTCGAGGTGTCAGGAGAATCCAACAGCAATGCATGGACAGGCCCAATAATGCCCCCAAAATGTTTACTCTCACTTTATATAGATCGACCCTTTTTACTTCTGTCTTCACAAAAACTGAAGACTCGGCAATGCATAAACACCTCTGATACTTACAGATAAATATTGCTAATGTTGCCATCTTTGTTGCAGTAATCCAGGACGTGTTTCAGCATCACCGTTCCTACACAAAAGGCAGAAAGGTCAAAGGTTGTGACAACTCAACCCCCAAGCATATCATTTGGCTATGGGGTCTCGGTACTACAAAATATGTACCACGTAGTAATCCGAGCCTGAAGGATCTCGCCAAACAAATTACTACTTCGGCTAGGGCACTCTCCATTGTTACATGTACTCGTACAGAGAACAATAAAGCCATGCATTCATAGTGCCACATCACTGTATGGTACATTGTCTTTTACAAGCAGCAGAGCTGTTTGCTGCTAAGTAGTAATTTTTAGTATTATGTAGGGTTAGGGATAAAGTACAAGAGCATGTGAGGGGAGTGGTTTACAGACGGGGTGGCTGGGTACAAGACGACTCTTCAGACTCGGAAATTCATTCAGCATGAAGCTACTCATTGTCGTCTTTATCATGTCTTGCTCCAGCAGGGGGGGGACCTACCTATGCCCAGTCCTCTGTAAGGAGCCAGGCAGCCTAACGTCATAATGTACAGCCGTCGTGTGCCGTCCTCCGTGGTATCGACTCGACAGCAGACAGCCCCGACCACAATGTCATTGAAGTAGCCTGCAGAGGATGTTTTGGTTCAATATCAATTAAAAAAAATAAATAAAAAATAAGTCGACGTTACAGGCTTATATCTGTTCAGGAATTGACTGAAGCCCACCACAGTGGTGCATCTTCTAACATGGCACTTTGTCCACACCCTGGATAAAGGGGCAAGGGGGGCTGTCCTCATGCAGTCCCCTGTACCCCCTTTGCCACTTTATCCCGCCTCTGTCTCTCTTGACCTTTCCTTTTGTCCTCTAGCATTCATCCATGCTGGTTGATTCTCTGTTTGCTTATTTGTCCCTGTCCATTTGTCATTTTGCCTGTGAGAAAGATTCTGCTACGATCGAAACATCAGGCCCTCCTTATTCTGTGATTTGTATGTTAGGTCACTGTAGTCAGCAAGCAGTTTGCAGCAGTTTTGTATTACATATCTCCAAAATGACACATTTTTATTATATGTTTTTTCTCTCTTGGATTAAGCTCAGAAGCCAAAGAACTTTGTGAGTTGCAGATCTCTCTTGCAGAATATGCCATACATTGACAGTCCTTCAGAACTGAAACGAACTCTAAGAGTAAATCCTCAGCCAAAATAATGCAACTTTTGTCCCAACACAGAGCCAGTGGCACTCACATAATTTAGCCAGTTCGCCCACATCCAGCACATCCTTGTAGAATTTGTCATTGTAGGAGACGGGGAACACCACCGAGTTGAGCCGCTTCAGCTGTTTGATGTTGTGCGGTGTTATGGCTCCCAGTTCAATCCTTCCCCTGGCAACAAAGACAAACGATAAATCTTAAGATCGTCTCCTAGTTTTGATAATATGACAAGACGGAGGTAATGAAGGCACAAAGCATGGAAACAGATCTGTTTCCTTAACCCTAACATAAATCAATTGACATAACTGGTATTTGTAGTTGTACGTGTAGTCGACATGTAGGCCTATTAACTATCCACATGTGGATTGGGTTTTCAGTCCCTACTTGACTGCATGGATTTTACCCAGACTATTCCTCTTGGGGTGTTCCTCCCAATTGTAACTGCTTCTTATTGTTGCCCGAGGCACCCTTGTATGCCATCGGCCTCACCATGTTTAAATGTATTCATTGTTCCGTACTTAATGTCTTCATTGTACTGCGCATTTGAACATATCTATATGAAATTTGCACTTTATAAATGAATATATTATTATTAATTATTATTATTATTAACTATAAATCACTGTCGCATGGCATTGGCAGTGTGCATCATGAATCACATGACATTCTAGGGGTCTAGGGCCCCATCACAACTGGGTCAATTTCTTTGCTTTGCAGTGTAGGCTATGATGGAATCCAAACTAGGTTTCCATGGTTTATGACATCTCCAACCTGAATCCCTTCAAAAATGAAAACAGAAAAACAGTCAAAACCTCCCTGGTCGACCCTATTGCATAATGCTATACCTTTGCTGACAACATGACCGATGGGGATAAGCGCCGACAATTACCGCCGCGGTATGCCCTCCGCATGCCCCCCCCCGCTTTATGTACCCATGGACATGATGGAGCTGAGGTACCGTGCGAAGAAGATATCAGCATTGCACTTCTTCAAGTTCTTGTCATGCATGTAAATTTTAATACCTTAGCACATGCATAACATGCATTTACAGTCAAAATTTTGTCAATGTAGGCCTAGCCTACACAACTTCACAAGTATAGTGGTGAGCACAGCCAAATCATGGGGGTAGGATCACGGTGTGGAGGACCTAGTCAAAAACTCACTGTGTCATGATTTCCTGTTTAGACTGATCGATGCCCCTCTCTTTTATCTGAACTGATTCACCCAACTACATGTAGTCGGTTGCATTCTAGAACGCCTTTTGGATGACTTATTTCCAAACGTAGCAGCCGGAACGGCGACCTTTAGTTTTTCCCGGGAAATTTCGGTGCGATCAGGCCAGGACACTGCCGATCGCGATGTCTAACATACACTGCATACTATATGTCATGCTTGTATTTTTGGCATGTGCGTGAAAACTGGTATCCTGTCCTGCAGTCTCCTTTTGAGTCACATGCAGTAATCGGTCACCGTTTTTTTGTTTTTTACTGTCTGCTGACCACAGCCAGGTTCTCCCAAATATCTAGGAAAATGTATTCAAACAGTCTGGGTAGTAGACTTTTTGGGCTATTATAGTACCTTTATGCACTTCTTGAATAGCCCAAACAAAATCCAATCAGCGTGCTATGGAATGGATCATTGGGCTCCCTGCAGTAGTAGATCTGGTCGACTGTACGGTTCAGTTCATCATCACATGATCCTAGCTCGGCTGTACAACCCGGGTGGTTCACTGATGAAACAGGTAGGGTTGCTTGAAGGTTTTGCTGGCCTTTGCGTTAAAATTGACTTAATTTAATTTAGCCGTGCAAGGCGCTGAAGCTGTTAACATAAACTTGTTTAAGCTTCGGGACATCTTTGCTTTTCATGTTTAAAAAAAAAAAGGTTTGGCCATACTCATACTACTGGACTGCCTTGCGCAGGTGGACTCCCTGAACGCCCAACCTGGGCTAACTACTGCCTAACGTTATTTTCATATTCACGCAGTGTTTGTTTGTTTTTTTTGCTGGTCTTTACTTACTTCAGTACATGTCGGCCTAGGCTACTTGTAGTTTGCAATGTTGCATGATATTAAAAATTAGGCTGTTGAATATTTCGCTTCGTTCCAGCCCCCCTTCATGTCCAAATGACATGCATATGCGTGCAAACATGGAAAAACAGCAGCTTTGTTATTTAAATGATTAATTGGGCGTTGGAGGTAGTGGTTGGGCTGATGTTACGTAGGCCTAGACCGATATCAGATTCTGCCCTGTGTGGTTTGTGTCACCTTCCTCCATAGTGTCACCTTTGAAATCATGTTTATAAATTACTTTGAATATTACATAAATGTATTTATACATTTATGTAATATTCAAAGTAGGCCTAGTACTGTACACATGTACATGTAGGCCCTAGCCTGTATTGCCTTTAATCCGGTCTTAATCAAATAATACTTGAATACGGATATTATGTTGTTCAAATAACAAATAGAGGGCAGTAAATAATGGCATGCATAACATGCATGTATATGCTGTAATTATTAAATTCTTCCACTGGAACAGATGTGAGTGAGCACACAGGATCGTAATAAACCAGACGTTTTTTTGCCCTACCCAAACTTCCTTCAATGAGTTTAGCATGCCTTTATGTTCCAACTTATATAGAGTACTGAAGTGAATGCGTCACGCGCACAATTCGTGTGTAAAAGGCATTAGCGCGTGAACCAACACGCGCGCATACTCCATTCATTTGCACTGCACTTTCTGGTTCACAGTGACGTCACACTTTGGTACTCTATCGCAGGACATTTCACTTCCTCTTTTTGAGATCTTTGGCTCTGGAGGATTTTTGGAGATGTGACACCTGTTCTCAGATTTTGAGTTTTTGAGAGTAACCATCGCAGACAGTCAAAAATGCCTTCCACTTGATTTGCCACAGTACACAGACATGTACACACGGGGTTCATTTGACTGATAGTGACTGATTGGACAACTTTGTCAAGAACACAGTGTTGTAGAAAGCTATAACACATGTCCTTCAAAGTCACATTTAGGCAGGAAAAATATTGAAGTATTTATGTAGAAAAACACTTCAAAATCTTTCAGAGTACACAGATTGCCAAGTACATGTAATATCAGGTATGAAACTTTCTCCCAATGTCAAATATCTTCTGTATTTATCAAGCTTTTCAGAGCACAGTATTTGTGCCGGGTGAATTGAATAATATTTGGAATTTTGTGTTTTGATTTTCACAAACAGGGAATTTTCTGATCAAATCATGTCACAGTTTGACAAGCTACCTAAGGTGCAAGATGCGGAGAAAGAGAGCCAATATGGCTATGTGCATGCCGTCTCTGGCCCTGGTAAGTCATCCATCAAAATCCATTCCCCAAAAAGGGGGAAATAGGATTTTGATGGATTTGGGGTGGTTAGGGTTAAACTCTTGAAAGAAATGAGCCGATTTGGTTTTTCAAAAAAGGCAAGGTCTTCCAGGAACAAAGAGTGCACATAAAGGGGGCGTATGGCTGTGCTGAACAGCGCTCATAGGGTAGAAAATCGCACACGCGTACTGCTGTTCCCAAATGACCTCAAACGCACTTCAATTTGGACATGGGCTGTTGCAATACCAAACTAACTCATTGAGAAATGACTCTCGTCAAAACATTTGTGAGACGGGAAGCAATTTCAGAAATACTATCAATTTTCTCAGCAGTATCTCACTTCAAGAAAGTTTGTTTTGTGTGCGGGTTTTGCCCATCCACGTTTTTTAAAATTCTGCTGACCAAGACCGTATATGTCTGATGAGCCGATTCGGTATTTCAACAGGGACAAGGCTATTCGGGAATAACTGTGTTTGTGCATGATAGTCTGTCTTACGAGCATGGCCACATGCTGACTCATGCGCGCCTTGTTCCAGAAAGGCTTTGGCTTTCTGAAATTCAAAACTGGCTTTGGTATCAATAGACTGAAATTATTCCTACTCACGATAAAACGTTGGAGACAAAGAAATTAAAGAATGATGCATGATTGCTGTGGAAATGTCCATCTTGATTATAGTCGTTACGGCGGAGAGAATGGCTGGGGCGGCCATGTACGAACTGGTCCGTGTCGGTCACAGCGAGCTGGTCGGAGAGATCATTCGGCTTGAAGGGGACTTCGCCACCATCCAAGTTTACGAAGAAACTTGTATCCTTTTGACAGAGGCTGTTTGAAATCGAGGGTTTAAAGGTTGGGTTGGTGAAGCACCGTTTTCACCAGTCACCACATTGACTTTGATCTGTTTACCAGTTGGACCTTGAATAAGGACAATTTACACAATGAGCCCCAAGCCGGTGTAATGGTCGCATTTATCCTTCGTGCTCAGATATCCAGGCATTAACCGAAAACTGCTGAACGACCCAAACTAGCATCCGAACAATTGCGCAGTAAGTCCCGTTTTGTTCACTTTTATGGGTGTGCTGAGTTCCTAAGAACCTCAACTACATAGGCTGTGTGCGCGTTCGAATTAAAGATTGCTCAAGGCATGTTGGGAAACAGCGTATGGCGCTGCAAGATCGTACCAATGAGAACGAGGTTGTGTATGTACATGTGCTGACCGTGGATACATCTCCAACGTTCGCACTCCTGGCTCGACCATAGAGTTGGATATTTTGTCCAATTCTATGGGCTCGACATACATGTACATGTACATCCATAATGATTGCACCTCCCCGAATCTCCCAGTCTCATCTGCATTTTTTCGTAAGCCTAAGCCACCGCGCGCACCAAATGCAGGACCACAGCGTAGGTACATTGTACGTACGCAACTGGAAAAATCAACATGGCGGATAAGTGAGCACGTCGCGGCAACGTGCTCATATATCTGGCGCGTTCTTCAAGAAATCCGAGCACACCGGATAAATGAGACCGTTACACTGGACCAAAAGAGAGTGAGAACTGCGTTATGCTACCAGCAAAGTGAATAATCCTATCCAACTTGTCTCTTTTCAACCACTGAGGGGGTGCTTCTGCTCATGGCAGATACAGTGTGCCACCTAGATGTCGCCACATGAGGCTTTTTTTTCAGATTACGGTTGACAAAAATATGGCTGATTAGTCCTGTTTTTTTTAATTGTTATGACAATGTTACACTTTTCTGTGGGGAAAGGTCTGATTTGCTAGCCTGGACAGAGAAAGTTGTGGCTGTGGCTTCAATTGGCATGTGCATCGATGGGAGTTGCAGTTGCAAGCCACTTGCTTCTGTCCATGCACACTAAGCCACAGCCGCAACCACAGCATTTGGTTGCCGTCTTTGCTGTGTTTATGAAGAATTCCTTTACTAGTCGTGCAGCCGGTGTGAGTGTGGGCGACCCCGTGCTGAGGACTGGGAAGCCTCTCTCTGTGGAGGTTGGGCCAGGAATTCTTGGATCCATCTTTGATGGGATCCAACGACCTCTAAGAGTAAGTAGAATCATCCAAGGACGAGCTGGAAATCTTGCTTAAAGGAAAATCTTGTTTCTTGCAAAATCTTAAAGGAAAGTTTTGCCCTGCAGAAAATCATGCTGAGTGGAAAATCTTGCTCAGAAAACCAGAATATCTTGTTCAGGAGAAAATGTTTGCAGAAAAGTGGAAAAGAGAGAGATAGTGGAAAAATCAACTCAATGGAATCTGGCTTAGCAGATAATCTTATTCAACAGAAAACTTGCAGAGTGGAAAATAATGCTTGGTGAAAAATCGTTCAGAGTGGAAAAATCTTACTTAGCGGGAAATGTTGCTTAGTTAGGAAATCTTTCACAGCAGAAAATGCAGCTCAATAGGAAATCTTTTCGGCAAAGTGATGTTTTTAGGAAGTTTTTAAACCACCAGTCATGGGTTTTTACATGTACATGCCATGCCTTCTTGGCTGGTAACTTTTTAGGTACTGAATATTACAAGAACCAGTTTATATGGAATACCATTTATGTTCTCAGATCCATCAAAATCTGTTAAAAAGCTATAAAGAATTTGCAGGATTGAGGAATGAATGTAGAGCACAACCCCTACACTTTCAAATGGGGCTTTGGTTCTTCATCAAAAGTTGAGTGGAGGAGTTTGATGGATTCAGGAGTGTACATTGTGAGTATGCTTGATGTTTGTAGTTAAGATGTCATTCCCTTTGAATTGAACAGGATATCAACGACCTGACCCAGAGCATCTACATTCCGCGGGGCATCAACGTGGCGGCGTTGAACCGCGATATACGATGGGACTACCAACCCTACCAGGGAATCCGGGTAAGTTGGTATTTGTAAAATGTGTGAATGTCCACAGATTGTAAAAGTCAGACTTGTCTGAAATGAGTGGATTGTCCAGGATGTGTGGATGTCCAAGGGGACAGGATAAGTTGGAACTTGTGGAATTTGTGGATGTGCAGGGATTGAGGTAAGTCAGGCTTACCTGAAGTGCGTGGATTATGTGGAATGGGTGGACGTCCATGCATAAGGGATGCTATATGTCCCTCAACTTTGGAAACGTGTCCCACACCACAACAGTCAGTAATCATGGCTAGTTGTTCTACTTTTGTCAACAGGTGGGAAGTCATATAACAGGTGGGGATTTTTATGGTATCGTCCACGAGAACTCCCTCATCGAGCACCGACTGATGCTCCCACCAAAGTGTCGGGGAACCGTCAAGTGGATAGCACCCACCGGGAGTTACGACATTACTGTGAGTAGCCAAGATTGTGAGTGGTCTTAACTAAAGGATCTAGCTGTGGCTAGGTTTAATGTAAGTGTCCATGGGAAAGTAGCCGCAGCCACTGGCTAGCTGCTTCACAGGTGCTGTTGTTATTCTTATTTAAACAGGGGGCAGAGGTGGGATTTCACATGACATATCCGGGGTTCATGATTTTGAATCCACGATCTGTGAACTTTCAGAGGTTTTATTAACCATTCCTGTGTTTTGTGTGGCAGTACTTCGGTTTGAAACCCAACCATGAGATTCAAACCTGTATAGTCTTGGTCGGTTTTTAGAGCCCATATCTTGTGAGCCATTTCAAGCCTAGAAAAGTCCAAATGTTCATACTTTGTTACCTTTACGACAACCCTCTTTGATTGTGGATACTTTATTACATCTTTTCTCTTTTGACCCCGCCTTTTCAGGATGTCATCTTAGAGACCGAGTTTGACGGAGAGGTCACCAAACACAGCATGCTTCAGGTCTGGCCTGTCAGACAGATGCGGCCTGTCAATGAGAAACTACCCGCCAACTACCCACTGCTGACCGGACAAAGAGTCCTTGATGCGTTGTTCCCGTAAGCTGTTTTCCTGTATCAGCACAAACCGCAGCGGTCAAAGATATCACGTCTGAGAAATTACCAACCAGCTACCCAGTGCTCCAGATGACTTGCTCCCAAAAGTTGACCCCCAAAATAGCTTCACCCAAAATGTGACCAGCGTTGTCAGAAAGAGTCACAAGTGATTGAGCCGCTGTTGAGTTTTGTTTACATTGTAGAGAGGATACCGAGCTCTTTGTTTTTGATGTGTCACTCAGTTTGGTATAGTGAAAAGGGATGTTGTGTAAAGTTTAATATGTTGAAGATTCCTATTGCTTAAACACTGCATAAGATTCTTTCAAAAGCTTTTAACTTAAAATTTGCTGTGGCGACATGTGACTCATTTTTGCAAAGTGGGTCAAAGATATTCGGCATATGCATTGTCTGCTGTTAAGTTTACTTGTAACACCTTGAAATACAAATTCAGAAAGCAAATTTTTGAATGAATTATTGAATTTTTCTCCTTTCATTGATTCTCACCTTTAAATATTCAATTTTGAAAACAAATATTCAATAACCAATGGAATGCTCAAGTACTGGAATATCGGGTACAGCCCTGTGGAAACGAAAGCTTTATTTTTGGTTTGGATTCGTCCATGTCTGTAGATGCGTGCAAGGCGGGACCACCGCCATCCCTGGTGCGTTTGGCTGCGGCAAGACCGTCATCTCACAGTCCTTGTCCAAATACTCCAACAGCGACGTCATCGTGTACGTAGGGTGCGGGGAGCGTGGCAACGAGATGTCCGAAGTGCTTCGTGACTTCCCGGAGGTGAGGAAACCTCCCTATCCCTCGGTCCACATTGTCTTCTAGTGGCCGAAGGGGGGGAGGGTTTATTGATAACTGTTGGAGTTGCCCTGGTTTCACCCTGACCTACTAGCCTGTTTAGTTTGAAACAGTGCCAAACCTAAAACAGTTAAACAGGTACAAGCAGGGGTGTGAGAATTCAGCTTTTCAGCTGATTTCAGCTTTTTTGTGTTGATGCTGACGCCGATTTTCAGCTTTTTTGTACACCTGGTCTGTACAAAAGTATGGGAACTTTTTACATTTCGGCTTTTTGCTAGCTGTTGTCAGCTTTTGATTTTAACTGGCTACTCACACCCATGCTGATTGGTCACTGTAATTACTAGCACAGGACAGGGTAGAACCTGTTTAACACCAGCGAGTCAACGCTGTAGAATTTGAGCCATTTGGTATAGATAGATCTCAGCAGTATACGGGTGACTTGCATTGAAGTAGAACCAAACCTGATATGAGCAGAGTCCAAGACATGGTACCCCCAGCCAGTCACTCCACAGATCAACCGCTGCGTGTCCCCAATCTAACAAAATCCAACACTATCACCCTAGGCCTTTGTTCCGCAACACAACAGAGTTTATAAGCATCAAGTTGGGCACTTTGAGATACTCAGTATGGACACCATTTTTTAAATAACTAGTATTTCATTACCAACCTTTATCAACCTAAACTTGACAAAACGTACTTATTTGTCACTTAATTGTTTGATCTTAATTGTCCCTTTCTGTGCCATCTTGCAAATATGTCTTTCTATAAATGTGGGGTCTAATTTTTCCTGTCCCTGTTAATATATCCGGCACATGATTTTTTAAAGTTTAGAACTCATTTTTTAATTTCCAAGAGTTAATAATTGCTACATTTTGCCTGCCAATAAGCAACAATAGTTTGAAATCAATTTCAATGATACATTCCCTGTCAAATTATGCAGGTCAGGCGTAACAGGGACAGAAAGTGCCACATGCGGGATCCCAACTGTATAGAGTGGCCCAGCTGCATGTTCAGTGTGTTGTTGGATGGCTTACAGAAAATCTGTTGAATGAATGAATAGCATATGACTGGTTTCATACAGAATCTCATAATTGAATTACATGTAATCTTTGCTCATGTCTTGGCAGCTGACAGTAGAGATTGGCGGCAAAACTGAATCCATCATGAAGCGAACAACTCTGGTCGCCAACACCTCCAACATGCCAGTGGCTGCTAGAGAGGCTTCCATTTACACAGGTATGCAGGTCATTGGTTGGCTTCAGTTTTGTGGATTGGAGGTCAGTTGTTGGCTTCATTGTTGTGGTTTGGAGGCCATTTGTTGAGTGGTGTGTTGGGGTTGGTACTGTACATTTGAGCCATTTGTAGGGTGATGTTTTTGTGTAGACCATTTGTCGGCTAGTGTGCTGTAGTGTGGAGGCCATTTGTTGGTTTTTGTGTTTTGGTGTGGATATTATGTAGGCCCTTGTTGACCAGTGCACAGAGGCTGGTTGGTTTGTGTGTTTTCTTTGTAGGGTGTTTGTCAGTGTGCTGTGGTAAGGAGGCCATAACTTTGTGTATGATAGGGTGAAGGCCATTTGTTGGCTTGTGTGTTTTAAACTGAAGGCCATCGGTTGGCTAGCATGTTGCAAGTAGGCTGTCAGTTAGCTGTTTAATATCTTTCGACGTGGAAGCCAATGTTTTGCCTTGAATGTTTTGTCGTCAAAGCCATTTTGTAGATTTGCTTGTGATAAAAATTGGTCAGCAAGTTATCCTGTCAAGGATGGAGCCATCTGAAGTACTTGTTATGAAGTATTTGCTGCCAGTATTTTTTTAACAGCCAAATCCTTGATGTCTGTCAACTTTTTCAAAGACCCATTTGCTTGTCGTGTGCAATTTTAAAGGCTGTTAGGAGAACCTCAGGCTGTTGTGACTAAATGTCTTTTCCCCCTCTGACTGCAGGCATCACGTTAGCCGAGTACTTCCGTGACATGGGCTACAATGTCTCTATGATGGCAGACTCTACATCCCGATGGGCTGAAGCCCTGAGAGAGATTTCCGGCCGTTTGGCTGAAATGCCTGCTGGTAAGTCCCCCCCCCCTTATACAGTTTCTTTATCCCTAGAGTCTGTTCACTGTTCCTTTCAAAATGCTCCAGTTAAGAACCTATGGCATAGGGTTCGTTACTTGTGTTTATAGGGTCGGATGTTCAAATCCTGCGGCAGGCATGCAGTGTGACCGTGGGCAAGTCACTTTGCTCTTTTAGGTGCCTCTCTTCACCTAGGAGTAAATGGGTACCTGTGAGGATAGATACGGCTGTCATGCTTGATTGGATGTCTGTGCCAGAAATGGCAGCACCATGCTGTACTCTCCCAGCTGAGATTGTTGTAGGGATTTTGATGGGCCTGATGCGTGCACGTAGGGGAAGTAATGACTAATTACTTTTTGCACCTGTTCTGTTGATGATAACCCACTCTCTATCTTGCCTTGTTCAGGAAGAAATAGTCCGGATATATCTTCTACGTGGAGGAAAGAAGATGTTGTTTTCTTAGAAACGAATTTGCTTAGGGACAGTCTCATGCATGTTTGTCAATGAGCATGAGCATGCTCAACCAGTAGTCTATGCTCTGAAGATGTCACATCAAATACATGTTCATTTGCCACTTGCCCGTGGAGCCAGTAAGGGGCCCATTGTCCACTGAGCACCAAAGGAAAAGCATGTCAACGAAGTGCATGTATGGCGTTATCAGTACCGTGGTCTGTAATCGTTAGAATGTGCGACATTCACCTGTGCACCTTGCACTTTGTTCAAATTTCCCCTACCAAACTGTCTTTTCTTTGCCCCTCCATCCATTTTGAGTACTTGCCTCTGATCTTGTACTTCAGATAGCGGCTATCCAGCCTACCTTGGTGCTCGTCTAGCCTCCTTCTATGAGCGGGCCGGCCGGGTCAAATGCTTGGGCAACCCAAACAGGGAGGGAAGCGTCAGCATTGTGGGAGCGTAAGTAATCACCAAATTGTGGAGAATGACTTTTTTTCCGAAAGTGTCGAAAATTATTGAAAAAATGTCAGAAATTTACAAAAGGAGGCTGGAAGTGTGGATTTTTTTTCAAGACCACTGAAATGTGTGGCATGTGTCCCACATTACAGCTTGCTGACATGACAGTAATGACTTCAAATCCAGTCGCCAGATTTGTCTGTGCTACTGAGTTTTTTGTTCAGTCCCTCAGGGCAAAAAGGGGGATGTTATTAAGGATATATATTTTTCTGGGGCTTTGGCTGTGTGGAGGGTTCCCTTGCGCCTGGAAATAACTGGAAAATAGGTTGACCTGGTTAGTCATGGAATACATGTATTGGAAAAACATATGGTGTCCTGGAATCTTGTTGTCACAGGAAAAGAGTCATAGAAAAGTCATGGAAATTAAGCTCATACAAGGGTTGCTTTGATTGGTTACTTTTGATGTGATGATAGAATAGTAATAAATTTACATGCTGCCCTGTCAGTGCATAGTGGTAGCTATTGGCCGTCTTCCAGTTCAGATTGCCAAACAAATTTTCTCTGTCAAATGACTTTAAATGTCATTGAAATTGTCATATTTTAGTCCTAGAGAGTCCTTGAAGTTCGCTTTCAGAGTTCTGTGGAAGAAGTAATAAAGTATCTTCTAGGAATAATTGGCAACTGCACATTTGGATTTTCACATCGACACTTCTGACAGAAATCATATCATATCACTGCACTGATGCTTTCTCCTGTTGATGTCCAGTGTGTCGCCACCCGGTGGTGACTTCTCTGATCCGGTCACCACGGCAACCCTAGGCATCGTCCAGGTGTTCTGGGGTCTGGACAAGAAGCTGGCCCAGCGTAAGCACTTCCCGTCCATCAACTGGCTCATCAGCTACTCCAAGTACATGAGGGTCCTGGACGATTTCTACGATAAGAACTTTGCAGAGTTTGTGCCCCTCCGAACCAAGGTGAGGGTGGATTCTCAGTACACTTCAGGTCGCCTCAGTGTAAACATGATTGAGGGCGGTGTGGCCCAGTGGTGAGGGCTTGTATCTCCAACAGACCATTAATTCATATGAATCATCTGTGCACCTTGTTTCCAGTGTTTGACCTTCATGAATATTCATACCCAGGTCAAGGAGATTCTGCAAGAGGAGGAGGATTTGTCGGAGATTGTGCAGCTAGTAGGGAAGGCATCCCTGGCCGAGTCAGATAAGATTACACTGGAGGTGGCTAAGCTCCTTAAAGATGACTACCTCCAACAGAATGGCTACACTCCGTACGATAGGTTCGTAGGAAGTTGACATTGAGTGGGATTCGAACCACCTACCTTTGTAACTTTGCCCAGAGGTCTAAAAACGGGCAGTCTGTAGGATTTAACCCTAACCCTCCTCAGTCCTTCTCCTGTTGGAGGACTGGGGAGTGTTAGGGTTAAATGAGCTACCTTTTGTCAATCACTCTGGGGCTCTACCAACTAAAGGTTGGATGTGAACAATGAGTGGGATTCGAACCACCTACCTTTGTCATATGTTCCAGAGTGCACTGCACTACAGACCCCTACTTTAGTTTGTTGTCTGCCAACATACTTGGACCCCTATGGCAAAATGGGTCAGATTTTTTGCCATGGAAGGCTCCAGTTTTATTGTTCGGTCATGCAATTCCTTTTTTTCGTTGGGGTATCTCCATAGATGCTGTGTAATACAGTGTGTAAGTTCTGTAAAAGAAAAAGAACTTTTCCTTTTCCAGGTACTGTCCCTTCTACAAGACGGTGGGTATGCTGCAGAACATTGTCCTGTTCTACGATCTTGCCAGGCATGCCGTGGAGAGCACCGCCCAGTCCGAGAACAAGATCACCTGGGCCATCATCCGAGAAAACATGGGCGACATCATGTACCAACTCAGCAGCATGAAGTTCAAGGTGAGACTCAGGCCATGCTGAATGGCGGAACGTCACAAGTTCTTCGCATGCTCAGCAGCTGCTTTTTGCAGTTTTCAACCAGAAACTTGTTTAAAGATCACATCAAAGTATACAGCTTTTTTAAGGTGGGCTGCAAAATAATAGCAGAATCAGAAACGATTACGTTGTCCCAGAGAGACTAAGTACAAGGTAACATATGATGTAATTGACAAAGGTGCTGTTGCCAAAATATTCTGCAAGTTGTCTTTAAGTACAACCGCTTGATTTCACTCTGCACATTCCGTTGGAAAGTAGCCATTTCAAATAGCTGTGTGCAAGAACAGATCAGGGTAGATACCATTCACCCACTTGAGATGAAAAATATATTGTTCTAAGTCAAAGAGATCTCAGGTGGGGTTTTTGCCAGTCTATAGTGCTGTTAATGGAATATTGGGCTGTTATGTACTTATTTTCCCACAATTTCTCCCTATATTCGCAGGATCCGGTCAAAGACGGAGAGGCCAAGATCAAAGCAGACTTCAACGAGCTCGCCGAAAACATGCAGACGCAGTTCCGAAACCTAGAAGACTAACCCCCTTTCCCTTTGCTTCACAGATATCTATAAATATATCAAGGAAGATGTTAATATTAAAATACTTTTATTAGACGATATTGAAATGTTGTAGGTCTTCTTGAAGCGTTGAAATGGTGTTGTGAAAACTTGTGGTTCTTATGTATGCCTCATGTAGGTGAAAGACACGGTGTGCTTTTACACATTAGTGGCAGTGGTGGGAACTCACCGCATATGCTCACATGTTTTTTTTCACCCGATGTGAGTTGCACCGAGCATGTGTTACTAATTTTTGGTGGAATATGTGGTCCGTGCTTAGCCTTTTGGCATATGCACGAGCGTGGTTGCCCAGCTGCTTGGTCGTCTTTTTCCGGTGCGGACCAGCGTCGTCGCCATGGCAAGGAAAATACCTATATTTGGAAGGAATAGATATGAAATAGCTCCCAAAAGTTGCCTTTCTTAGCATTTCTTTCGAAGCTGGTTTCTTTTTGTGCCCCCTCGGACCGCCAATATCCTTAAATTCCATCCACACCTTCAATACTTTGTGAAACTGGAAGAACATTTCAATATTAACAGTATTGAAGTGTCACGCATTCGGTGTATATTTTGCCCGCTGGAGAGATCTGTCTACATATGTTATTGTATCCGTCGATGTAGGAGAAAGTATATGGCAATAATATTGTACGTCTAATTGCTGGTTAAATTATCATTAGCTTAGCTTCTCAGAAGATGTTGGTTTAGAGGTATTCTTGCTTCAGTCTTTGTTTGGTGCAGGTACATGTATGCGGTGGTAGAGAGAATATCAACCATACACGAACCCTCGTTGAGTGGCCTTTCAAGTCTTGTCCTTTTCTGTTTGTCAGGTCAGAGCTGTGTGAAAGTTAGGGAAAGCATAACTTTCTCCTTGTCTCTCATGCATTGTGGACGTTGGGAAGTGGAAAAAAAGTTCCTGCTCGTTTTCGTTAAGGCGCTAGTTGAGATATCAGCCGGCTGATTCAGAATCGAGGCAGAACACGTAGCATCGGCCAGGGTTGTTTACAGTGCACAAAGCTTTGTAATGATGTCATTTTTAATCGACCCTTTACCAGCTGACGCTGACATCAGGCAGTGTTGGTGATATCCAAATGTTGCCCAAAATGTGCATTTGTGAAAACGCTACAAACTTGCAGTCTCTTTCATGCCTTGATAACTGAATTGACGTGAGTTTGATGGATATTTCAATATGGAGAGGGGACCAGTTTTAAACAGCCAGAGCCCCCCTCCCATTATGTCGTTTCCTCATTACGTAGGGTGTCTGTTAACTTGTATCTGTATTCTTTTGTGTTTCTCTTTGTTTTTGATTGGTTGAATTATTTATTTTACATACGGCAACACCGAAGAGTTTAAAGTGATTTGAATGTAATTTTACGTTTACATAATAGAAACATCAAAACAGCTGGAGTTGCGTTTAGAGTTTATTACGCATAAAGTCGGCCCCTATGATTGTTCATTTCAAACAGCTGTGTTCTGACGTTCTCTTAAAAACAGGAGAGAAAAGTTTAACGCCCATAGTTATTTCCATCAGTGTTGTAGAATTCTTAATGGCTGAGATTCCAAATGATTTTCTGTTGTCATTCATAATATCTGTCAAAACGTTGTGAGAAGAAAATGTAACCTTTTGCAGTATTATGTGTAATCTTCAAATTCCGTGTTAAAACAACATGGTGACAGTTTTAACAGTAAAATAAAATCGAATTATGTTGACCAGTGAACGGATGCTTACGGTAATCAGTGACGGTTAGTTGGTACGGGGGGAGTTGGAGTTAACCAGACACTAACAAAACATTAACCAATATAGAAACGAAGTTACAATAGTACATAGTATTCAAGTAGATTAGAAACCTGTTCAACTTTATCGAATGAAACAAATACTGAGTTGGAATATTATCGATAACAGTTTTTAACCCCTGCTCTAATGGGCGTATTTCTACGTGAGCGCTACCATCGTGATGGTACGGAAGTGAGCTCTCACGAAGAAGTAAAATTGTGTAACTTTTTTCAGGTTTTTGTTGAAACTTTGAAGCTCTGATATGCTTTAGTGAGGGTTATGAAGTTGCTTTTGTCAGAAAAGGCTTAAATTCACCCAATAATCAGTAATATAATTATTCCGATTCTTAAATTAATAGTTGCAGACGACGGTATAGTGCCTGTTGGCATGTTCAGGGTATGATCTGTACATGTAACCACCATTCTTATGGTAACGGACTGCCCTTTGTTTGCTGCCACCAAGAGGCGATACGTTACCCAATTTCTTAATTTTCCCAACTGATTGACATAATCCAAGTCTCTACGCGGTATGCAGTACATGACATGTTTATTAGTAATTACAACCATATTCTCTTGGCATCTGCGTATTAGATCCAAGGGGTCCAGTAAACTTAGAGATTTACTTAGGTATGTCTCATTCGGGGTGTGACCTTTAACCTGTTTTTTTTTTTTAAGGCAAGTAGCCCATGAACGCCTCCGGTAACAAATTCACAGTGATGAATACTACAACACGACAGTAAGATTGTAGGACGAGATTTGCCAGCTGGAGTTCATGATGCAGAAGTTCATCAGGGTGGTGGTAGGTGTGGATACCTCCCACCTCTTCCCAAACCCTTTTTGAGTTCTTTGAGACGACCGATTTGACGGGACGCCTCATCTGCCTGGCCACGGTCAACCAATTTCTGCAAGGATGACAAGAAAAGAAATGAGAGGCAGCGTGTCCGTATTATCCTTACCATTCCATTCTTTGTGTGGACACAAGAACAAACGATACGTTTCCCAAGTTCAGAAAGTATATAATTCATTTAGCTTGATCAGGTATGAAATGGGTGAGCATCTGTTATAAAAATGATCAAATAAAAGCCACGACTATCTTTGGCGTCTATACGGATGACGAGACCAACGCTGAGGAGAAATATGACCAGCGCCGACCCACGACAAATGTTGTGATTCTTGATGGCTTCTATTTGAAACTTCGGCAATGTATTTTAAGTGAACGTCGGTACTTAACATTTTATCAGTCAGTGATCCAAGAACGATTGCGTCCGGGCCTGATATGCCTCATTACAGAATTATTGTGACAAATCGTTGCCGGGAAAATTAATTTTGGCATGATCTGAGGCGTGACATTTTTGGATTTGATTGTTATAGCCGTAAGAACGCAGTTAATTAAAACAAGTAAGAACACCGTGTGTTAAATTTGTTTGATTCGTTCGTTTAAATGCAATATATATATATTGACCAACATAATTACCACGGTTTTAATGTTCAGCGTGTTAATAACAGAGAAAAAGCGCTGGTATATTGAGGAAGAAAGCCCAAATTTGACAACACTTTTTCTTCGCCCATGTAATGTTTGCTGTATGTATTTTTTCTACTTATTCTGTTTTATCTATTGTAAATTTGACCTGCGAAATAATAAATAAATGAAATTTGCTTCTGGATTCTTCACTCACTGTGACGTATATTGGTTATTCCATCTGGATGGTAAAATCATTTAACTTAATGACGATATCAGCATTCTATGGGTGGTCACGGACTATTACTTATGAAGCGCGTCGGCATTTATAATTCTAGAAATCATTCTCGGAAATTTCAAATGAGTTTAATTTTCAAACTAAATTACAATTCTTAAAACAATGAAGGCTCTGCCGTGTTTAATGCCAATTCACGTTGTTGCAGGAGAAATAATTTTGCTTTTGTGCCTTTGGGGCAACTTGAAAACCAAACGTCCATAAAATTCGGCAATTCTGCCTCTAAAGAAATAGATTAATTAAAAGTGAAATACTATATATCGTAAAGCGAAATATGGTCACTCCCATCAAAAGAACACTTTAACGTTAAAATAAAACAGGGAATACTTTTAACTTATCTTGCAGCTGAATGTTGCCTCATCCTAGTGTGGAAAGGTGTTTCATTATAGACTACATTTTGTATACATTTGACCACTGAAACTATAGTTGCTTAACGCGTTGGCCCCTAGAAACAGGTGAATGAACCAAAGAAAATGTTCAAAACACTGTTGCTCTTCGGGTCAAATTCGATCTTTCATTAGCTTAATATCCAGCCGAAACGCGATCACTGTACTGGGTGAATATCCCAGGAGGTGGTAAACGCTTTCCAAGGACTTGATGAGAGTCACTGCCAAGGTGGTTGACGTTGGACTCCTTTCGAGTCGTAAACTCATCGAGGCTAGTTTCGTGAATCGCATATCGCATTGAACCTCCGAGGGGATTTAACCAGAACTATACTATATCCCAATTGCTTGCTAAGTATGCATTAGCTGACCCGTAAGATATTTTTTGTTTTAATTGACTCCAATGAAAAGTTTAATCTGGATTCAAGTTTTACAGCTGCTCTGAAATGGAGTTTATTTCGTGCAGATCAACTGCACAACTACGATCTTCAAGGGGAGGTTCCCAGTAATTGTTGTATGGTCAGAAAAGCCAGTTCTTTTGTATGTAATGGGATGGTATGTAACATATTTTATTTACCTGAAGATTCCTCTGATCTACAGCTTCCTCTGAAATGACGTCAGTCTCGTCAGCATCGGTACAGGCGACCAGACTGTAAACGCTTAGAAGAATTATGACCAAAACTGCCAGGCAAAAACGACCCGCCATGGCTGCTGAGAAGCCTCGTTGTTTATATACGATAACTACGACGATGTGGAGTCAACTTCGATGTTTCATGTGGTAACGATTTTCGTTGAGTGATCAAGAAATATTTATCTTCATGTTTTTAAATGACTTCACAGTCGTAATCTAACATCCGGGCCTACGAAGCAAATTTCAGCCCAACTTTAGGCCTAACGTGTCATGACTTGACTTTAATTGCATGCATGAATGACGAGCCTGTTAACAGATGTAGGATGTGCAA